CTTTTATACCAGAACACAGCCGCTGTGATGAAACTGTGGGGAAGACACGTCACAGCGGAGAGCCGTTAACCAATATATTACACACACACAATATAATACACACAAAAACATCAAAATTAGCACAGAAACAGTACTRTATAACATTTTAGACACATTCTAGACAGTTTATCAGCTAAAAAAAGTTAATTTTGGGGTAAGTTACTCTTTAATGAAGGTGTTGTACTTTTTATTAAAGCACTAAAAAGGAGAACATATTTGAGAGGAGCAGCTTGTGGTCATGTTCTTGTCGCCTAAGATGTAGCTGGAATAGATTTACATCTGGTGTGGATGTCTCCATATTGCTCTCTGCAGCTGTGATTAATGACGATCACTGCTGTCAGTTCATGTTTCTCTGCAAACAGATTGATTTATGTTTTGTGTTCTTTCTGTCCATCCACAGGATGCTTTTCATAGACACAAACTTCCAAACTCTGAAGCTGAAAGCGGAGGACTCCTCCGGGAGACAGCATGTCCTCAACATTAAACTCAAGTCGAAGGTGAGACACTCACAGGAACTCGCAGCTACAGGATAATTTTCACATCCGAATTATCATCATCAGATGGGAAACTCTGCAACACGCCGACGACCCGCAGTCAATCCAAATCACAACACGCTGACTCCACCTAACGCACACAGGGCTGTTCAGGTAGCTGATAACAAATCTGTAATTTACATCTCTGCTCCTAAATCTGGGTCAGGCTTGAGATGGTGTGGAGAGACATGGCAGCCTGCTGTGACTGAGATGTAACACAGATAAAGCATCGCCTCGCAGAGCCCAGCATGATGGAAACCCTTCCTGTATGCAGAGAGGAAACCAGTAAACCCACAGTGATCTGCATAGTTGCTGCCTCGGCTCAGAGTAAATAGATGCTGGCGGAATGGGAGTGGATCAGAGTGTTAATTTCCATATTGATTGGATCGAATGACATTTGGCACAGAAACACAAGTTTTTGATGTTGAATTGTAGATTCATCCTGTTCTAGTAAGAGTCTGTTTCAACAGATTTAAATTTTGTCATTATGATTATTTAAAATTGCTTCTCATGATCTTATTATTCCACCCGTCTGCCCTTTTCTGTTGCCTGTTATAGTTAGATAAAACTCTTCAGACCAAGGCTTGGTCATTGATTGTTCAGTTTTCACCAGTGGGTGTAATTACAGTGGGTGAAGTCCTTCACTACTTTTATACATCATTACTCACACATCCTATTTGTCTGATGTATTATGAGCTTGAACCATTGAAGAAAACCCATGTGTGCACAGGGAGAACGTACAAACTCTACCCAGAAAGGCAGCAGCAGCCTGGAGGCGAACTTGTGACTTTCTTTTTCTGAGGCGACAGCTCTCACCATATCGCCCTGTTGTTGTTATCATATGACGAGCAATGATGGCGCAATCACAATACATCTTTGATATATCTTGCAGCCACACACAGCAGCACTCCTTATGAGACAGACAGAAACCCTATTGAGCTTCTAACTATTTCTGTGTAAAAAATTGTATCAAAAGTTCTTGAAGGTCCAAAACTGTTGCTTGTAAGAGTGTAAATTATTTAGTATTTATAGTAGAGCTGCTTGGTTATGAAAAAAAAATAAATCATAGGAAGGATTTTTTAAATTAATATAGAAAATCACAAATATTTAAAACAATTACTCTGAGTTTGGAAACTCTGCATTTATTTCACTTCAGGAACACAGAATTGTCCTAAACATGACATTTTTTCCTTGATGCCTTCCTGCTGACCTTAAAGTTTATAATAATGTGGGTTTTTGTATAAAATAAACACTACTTAACTAAATAAATGATATAGTGACTTTCCATTATATTGTATGGCCCTTATATTTCCTAAATTACCCTTTTAATGTTCTGGATTTCATGTTTTAGGATGCATTTCTTCTATAAGATCTGATAGATCTCTACATCTAATAAGTGTCTGGAGGTGAAGATGGAAGTGGAGGAGTACTTTCCCTTTTTTTATGAAGGACGGTGTTCTGTTTGTTTATTAAGATGGGGCACAACTTAAAACCAGCCAACATGGAAGTGGGTCTCGTTCTGACTTCATACTTTACTTTCCAGTCTGAGGTCTACTCATAATAATAGTCTCTGACTTTAACAGTTGTATATTATCATTATTACCAATAAAGGCTATAGCTTAGTAACAAGTATTTTTAACATTTTAACTTCAACTTTGAGGTAACGAGGCATTAGGCAGCAGGAGTGGGAGAAGCTCAGAGTGGTGTAAACTTTAGGCATGGAGCCTCAGTGAGGTGGTGCTTACCTAAGCCTGGATGACATCCACCAAGAATGAGGGAGGATTGTGAGACCCCACTGCCCACCTGGCCCCTCTCATCCTCCTGGCACTAAGTAAAAATAGCCTGGAGTTCTGTGTGCCTCCAGCAGATCCAGCGCCAGGTCATCCCTCAGCAGGCACAGCTTGGGGGGAGGCAGGACTGGCATGCACCCGTGGAGGCTTGGAAGGCAGCAGGAGTGAGGACTGGGAAAGGACAGGAAGTTTGGGACGCTGAAGGTGAACAGATGGAGAAAGTCTACCTCACATGTTCACAGTCAGGTAGTCTTCAACAACATTAAATCTGGCCACCAATGATTCAAAGGTTTACTCTAATTTACTTTTTAAAAGAACAAAAAGCTGCAAAAACTATTTTAAAAATGAAATGAAATGAAATTAAATGAAATTTATTCGAACATGATACAATATAACAATAAAATGGTGCACAGTAACAAGAAGTGCATAAAAAAAAGAAAAAAGAAAAAAAATACAGATTTTTGTTTCAGTTAACATATCATGCTCAAAATGGGTTAGAAAGAAGCAAGAACTTATGAACTCCTACCCCCTAAACACTTGAAAACTTTACAGTCCTACTGACATTAAAAAAATCAAAGTCCAAGTGGCAGTCAGTAGTTACTAATATTTACCTATACATTTTCCCATTTTATGCTTCCCATTTCCCATTTTCCAAACCCTTACACCAAGTTGTTATCTGCAATAAACACATTATTGCTTTCTCTCACCCATATGTGTATTTCTATTGAAAATGACCTCCTTGTATTTTCTTTTGAATTGTATTAAACTATTGCTTTGTTTTAAATCTTCATTTAACTTGTTCCATAACTTTACACCTTTAATTGAAATACAGAAGCTTTTTCTTGTTGTTTGGAAATTGCGGAACTTGAAGTTTGAGTGACCCCTTAAGTTATACCCCCCTTCTCTTTCAGAAAACATGCTCTGTATGTGCTCAGGTAACAACTTTTTAGATACTTTGAACATAAATTGAGCCATTTTAAATTCTACAAGCTCCTCAAATTTGAGAATTCTGGATTTTATGAAGAGTGGGTTTGTGTGCTCATAATAACCAACATTATGGATTATTCTAATGGCTCGTTTCTGTAGGATGGTTACCGGATGTAAAGAGCTCTTGTAATTAACTCCCCACACTTCACAGCAATATGATAGATATGGTAAAATCAGAGAGTTATATCGAATATGAAGTGATTCAGCATTCAATACATGTCTAGCTCTAACCAATATGGATATGCTTCTACTGAGTTTACTCTGTAAATGTGTAATATGAGGTTTCCAACTGATTTTGTCATCTATTATTACACCGAGGAACTTATTAGCAAAAACCCTTTCTAGAGTTAYGTCCTCTATTTGGACTTGGATTTCAGTATTTTTGGAACAGTTCCCAAAAACCATGATTTTCATTTTGTCCAAATTTAGTGATAATTTATTATTGTCAAACCATATCTTTAACTTACTTAAAATCCACCATTTTGGTATATGTTTCATTTTTAGTTTTGAAACGTTAAAGGGATCCACGATTATTTGTAACATACTTTATTTGATAAACATATATTTTAACTGTAAAATAAAGACTGTAAAAATACTGTAGGATGTTTAGTTTTGTAAAGTTTTACAAATATATTTTAACACTGACAGAGCCATTTTATTTACAAACAAAGCATTCTGGGTAAATGATGGCATATAGGTCCTTGGTGTGAGCAGCTATATCCACCTTGAAGGTTAATCTTGGACAATATCTGATGATCGACTCTTTTAAATGAAACCAGAGAGCGTTGACAGAGAGGAGAAGGTAGAAATGACTCAGCCTGTAACTGAAAATATAGATGGAGGACAACAGAGCTGCTTCATGGAAGAAGAACCTCAGCTTAGCCTGTTAGCTTTAGCGCCAATCCTAGCGCAACAAACAAACAAGCTAAACTGAGATCCTCCATCCATATTTTCAGTTGCAGACTGAGTCATTTTTGTGTTCCCCTCTCTGTCATCTAGATGGAGGACCTCAGTGACAAGAGGAGAATGTGTAGCGCTGAGCTAATACATATATGTATATGGTGATAGTGTTGGCACTAGTGCAAAGGCTAACAGGCTAAGCTGAGGTTCTTCTTCCATGAAGCAGCTCTGTTGTCCTCCATCCATATTTTCAGTTACAGGCTGAGTCATTTCTACCTTCTCCTCTCTGTCAACGCTTTCTGGTTTCATTTAAAAGAGCCGATCGTCAGATATTGTCCAAGATTAACCTTCAGGGTGGATATAGCTCACTAGCAGCCTCACACAGAGGACGTATCCACGTCATCATTTACCCATTTATTTGCGTGCAAATAAAATGGCTCAGTCCGTGTAATATATTTTTAAAAATTTAGTTTAAAAATGATAAAAACTAAACAGCCTACAGTATTTTTACAGTCTTTGTTTTACGGTTAAAATAAATGTTTATCAAAGTCTAATGTTACAACTAATCATGGATCCCTTTAAAGAAATTTACCAAATGTACAGTCTAATTTGAAACCATTTTTGAATACCATACTGTTATGGCAAAATTTATTTAACAAAAACAGAAATACGTGGTCCAAGAATGAAGGTACTCCGTGAGATGATCAGCTGAGTTTTATTGTAACAACAGGAAACACAGAGAACAACCTGCCCTGTCTCTGTGCCTCTGCTTCCCTCTGTCACTGTCTCTCCACACTACTAACTGTTCAATGGTGAACACTGTGTCACTCACTTGAGGGGCCTCATATATATATATTAACAAACACCATTATGTCATCTTAGCAAGATTTGATACAAGGTCAAGGGAAAACACAAAGATAAACACAAGTGATATCTAAGAATGACTGTTGWTAGCAAATCTTGTTCTGACTTTAATCATTCTATCTGCAGATGAACAGTATGTCATGAAAACCTAGGTCATTAAAGGATGTCATGAATAACTGGCTTAAACCTAAAAGTATTAGTTCCACCACAACTGTCCTCCTCTTGATTAGTCACTAATCAATTAAATTATCAATAAAACAAAAAAAACTCTTTAATGTATTTAAAAATGTATATGTCAACACAAACCCAAGTATAATTACTTTTCTAAGATCCCAACCACAGTAATTCAATTTTTTATTCCTSCCACAGTAATTACTAACCCCAAAACATACTTATCACA